ATTTCATATTGTAATTGGAATAAATTACGTGCTAGTAATGTAATTTCGTTTATTTCAATTCCTTTGAAAGGAATTGAAAATGTAATTTTTTTCCAATTCCTTTGAAAGGAATTGAAAATGTAATTGATTTTTTTTCCAATTCCATTCCTCAAAGTAATTTAAAAAGTAATCGAAAAATTTATAAAAAAAAATTTTTTACTGTTGAATTGCAGTAGCTTTGTTAAATTTCCTGCTAGTATTTCATACAAAAAATTATTGCACTTTCACTTAACCCTTGCAAACTTGTTTATTTATCCATCGATTTTCATCGGTAGTAGTGTTTTAACCCGCAAAACTAGCAGAGTTTGGCTAGTCTATACTAATATATATTTTGAAAGGCGTTTTTTTCTGTTCGCAAAGCTCGAGAAAGGCCGTACCGATTTTTTTGAAATTTCGGAATCTACTGCAAGCTTTCCAAGGATGGTTATAGCTAAAAAAAGTTTCGATATAGAAAGGGGGCGTGGCACCTCCCATACAAACCGAATTTTTCAAACTGCATATATTTGTGGTAGAGGACTAGAACTGGGTATGGTGATATCTATATACATATATAAGACCAATTCCATACTCATGGAGAAAAATTTGCATGGTTGAAGAATGGGGCGTGACACCTCCCATATAAACCGAACTTTTCATATTGCATATTTCTGGAAGTGTTCATGGTAGACTTTTCAAAACTCTTTAGTTTGACACCCACATGCCAACATTTCATTTACTTTATCAATTTAACTGAGTTACAATTTCCAAATAGGTGGCAGCCCCCTCAAAAATATTTCCAACAGTTATCTTTCTCAAACCTTTTTAATTTGATACCCATATTGTAATATTTTATTTATTTTATCAATGTAATTTAGTTAAATTTTCAAACAGATGGAAACCCTCCTCAAAAATATTTTCGGCAGTAGCCTTCTTAAAACTCTTTAGTTTGACACCCACATGGCAATATTTCATTTTTTTTAACAATTTGACTGAGTTTAAATTTTCAAATAGGAGGCCACCCTCGTCAAAAATACTTCCAGCAGTTATCTTTCTTAAACCTCTTTAACTTAATACCCATATTGTAATAATTCATTGATTTTAAGTTAATTAAATTTTAAAATAGGTGGCAACCCACCAAATTTTTGCGATATCATTGGTTCTGGTATTATACCGATTAATAAAAAGAATATTATTCAAATCGGTTCAGTCGTTCTCGGGTTTTGATGACCGTGACATACGAACACAACATTTTTATATATATATAGATATACATAGAAGACGTCCAAATTCCACATTGTATATTCGTGAATGAACTTTCAGTTTCTCGATTACTTTTACAATTCCTTTGAGTAATTGGAAAAACTAAAGTACTCTTGCAATTCCAGGTAATGGAATTGAAAACAAATCAATTACATTTTCAATTCCTTTCAAAGGAATTGGAAAAAAAAAATTACATTACTAGCACGTAATTTATTCCAATTACAATATGAAATTCCTTGTAATGGAATTAAAGAAAACCCCAATTACATTTGAAATTACTTCAAGGAATTGAAAAAGTAATCGATTCCTTTGCTGTGGACTGAAGGAATTGATTCCTAATTACAATTCCTTGTAATCTGTAATTGGGAGTAATTTAATTCCTAAAGGAACCATTACGACCCAGCTCTGAGCAATAAGATTAATTTTTCAATTTTTCAATTGAGTAATAAAATAAAAAAGTGCACATAGTCACCCAGTTACATTTGACAAAACTTTGATCGGGTGACATAAGGCCCATGATTATAAAGATGCTGGCCCAATGTAGACTTGCTTTGCTCGCTTTACTGACTTTAGTTTGCTTTGATTTACTTTAAAAGCTTGTTTGGCCAAATGCAGCTTGGAACGATGCCAAAGCAATCAGCTGTGTGGTTGCGAAGTCAAAGTCTGTTCCCTTAGCATTAAGAATTATTACCCACAAAATACAACACAAATAAAAACAAGTAAGAAAGCCTAAGTTCGGGCGGAGCCGAACATTAAATACCCGGCGCAAGTATTAAATATATGTTTTTCACCTTTCCGAAAACTACCGCTACATGGTAATCCGGCGTGGTTTTACCCCTATTTTAAACATCTTCGATAGAACGTTCAGTTAGACATAATGAGATAAACCTATATAGTCATATGTGGGCGATATCACGCCCATTTTCCAAAATTCCAAACAATGTTACTTCTTTTCAAGGGATTTTGAGTAAATTAGCGTCCTTAAATTTCGAAATATTGAAGTTTCAAGCATTTCTGAAATTTACCGTTATATGAAAAGCGGCCGTAACTTTAGTCCGATTTCAATAATTTTCAACCTTTTGCTTTTATGTGGCAAGCACAATGACCATACCGAGTTTGGTACAAATTGGTAGAACGGTTACCGTGATACATATATGTATGTGATCATATGTGCGCCATTTTTTTTATAGTCTTTCCCCAGCTAATTCAATGAATTCGCAATACTTAGAACTAAGGTAAATGTAATAAAATGTAGTAACAGTAACAATGTGTTTATTTGAGATCAGTTAGATAGTAAAAGATAGGAAATAGATACAAAAATTAACGTTTCAATATAAAACATAATGGGATAAGTGCATGGTCAAAACAAAGTTGAAAGTATAAATAAATTCAGCTCTCTGACAACATTTTCTAAGAAAAATTTTTCAAAAAAGTTGAATTATTTAGTTTCGTCTTTGATTCGACTACAAATATGCCCCATTATGTTTTAAATTTAAACAGGTTTACAAATTAAGCATATGATATATCGAAAAGCAAGTAATGTGTCAAATTAAAAACATTAATTAATTGAAAAATCTGCTTTATTTTTATATTAAAAACAAAAAATAAAAATTAAATGAACAGACAGAAATTAAATAAACAGATAGAATAGATACTTCTTAACACATCGTAATCTGTTACAAGAGATAAAATAAATGCTTCATTTAGTCAAAATAAAAGGCTTTGGTCCAGTCTGAATTATCCGCTATGTGGCAAACTGCTCGACTAAAGGAAGTTTTCATTCAAGATTTTAACATCTAAATCACATTCTAAGTTGCTTGTACTCCCTACGCCTATCCATGGACTTCAGATTATTCCAGAGAATTTTGGTTGGCAGATTCACATTAAGTCTGGGCTTATAATATTGTCTTATTGCATTTTTCGCTGCAAAAGTCGCACGATTTCTAGCAAAACGATATGTTTCCCAATTCTCGCACTGAAAATTATTGAAATTTGAACAGAATACAAGTAAATGTAAATAGAACTCAGTACATGTAAGCATCTATTAGACACTTAATACTTAATACTTTGAATCGAAAGTGTTGATTAAAATAAAAAATTAAAATATTTTGGAATTCTGAGTTCTTTTGAGTTCTTTTAAGTTCTGAGTACTTTCTAGTTCTTTACCTATTTAGTACTGAGTACTTTGGAATACACATTATCGAGACTTAAAAAAAAATCGGGTACTGTCGATCCTTTTAAGAATAAAGTTTTGAGTACTTTTGGGTTCGATACTGCCCAACATTAATTGGTACAAAGCTCCCCTTCTCCTTGGGCTATCAAATTAATAGACATTGATCCTCGATGCACTAGTCTTTCCAGACCGTCTGACCAGACAAACATGCGAAAATACATTCAGGGTATTTATCTGAATGCGTTACCACCCGTAACAAACCGGTTTTCCATACAAAATTGAGTAAGTTTAAGAGGTTTACGTGTTACGAGGCTTATACGCGTTTGTATGAATTGCCCTACAAGTCTTTTCAGGCCGTCTGAAACCAGTTATGTACATACCTGTGTACATATACGGTGTACTATGCTTGTGCTATTAAGAGATTTGTCTATGTATGTGTTTCAGACCGAATATCATTAAATCGTTAATAGTACCCGTTAGAGATGAGTTGGAGACTAATTGATCTCCAATTATACCCA